AGACGGCGCCGAGGACCTTCGTTGACGAAGCGGTAGCCGGTGGTTGAGGAGGCGGTGGGTGGCCGACGATGATCCAACGACTTGGTCGAAGGTGCTCTTCAATCGACAATGTCAATTGGTACATGATGCGGTCGATGTACCCTTCAACAGTTTCGTCGTTGCCAAAGAAAACGTCAAAGAACGGGGATCCAAGGATATCCGTCCTTCCTCGTCGATATGAATCCGTGGTCGATTTCAGGATCGGCCATGCACCAATGACGAGTCTGGGAGGAGAGGTTGTCTTCTTCTCTTGGCTTCAAGTTTCATTAGCCAACCAAGGTTCCCAAGAGGGGTGTGCAAGGAAGAAGCTTAGGTTAGGTTAAGGTGAGGGTGAGATTTACTCCAATTCTGAAAGTAATTTCAAATTTTGAGTAAATTTGGAGGGAATTAATTTGAAATTATAAAATCAAATTAATTAGGGATAGGGGCTTTTAATGGGAATTAATGGGGAGCCCACTATTAGCGGCCAGCGGCATTGAGAGGGAGGGAGAGGGGCTTAGGGAGAACTAATTGCTTTCCAAACAAGTTGAGGTCAAATAAGAGGGAAATTAATGATTCCACTCTAAATGAAATTTGAATTGGATTGAAATTTGAAATCTATCCTTATTTGGACTTTTTGCAAATATGGAAAGTTTTTGGATTTCAAATTTTGAATTTCAAACTTGCTAACTTCTCCCTTTATTGTAAGAACCCAAATTAGGGGAGTCATTATGATGATTGAAATCATCATAATGATGTGGGAGGTGGAAGGGGCCGGCGGTCAAGGTATGGGCTCAGGCGGACGGCGGTGGGGTGGTGCGGCCGGATGGGAGTTGAAAGGAATGGGATCCAGGGGTTAACGTCAAGGGGAGGGAGCGGGTGGTTTGCCGGCCAAGTGGTGGGGTGGTGGGGAAAATCCGGCGGCTAGGGGAGAAGAAAGAAGAAGGAAATTTGATAGAAACCAAGAGCTCCACCAAGGGGCTGTTTACTGTTGGGTATTGCTTTGAGCCTCTCCTAGGCTAATACGCACTCTAGAACTCATAAAGAGAACTCTAGAACTCACAAAGAGATCCAAAACCAAAGTTGAAATTTCATATCAATATTCATCCCCTAGTACAATGCATGAGGGCTCCTATAAATAGGCCAAAATGAAACAAAAACTAAAAGACATAAATGCCCTCGGGGCTACAATATCAAATGACCACCCATAAGGGTAAAACAGTAAAAAATTAAAAAAAAAAAAACTACATAAAATGACTCAAAATATAAACTCCTGATTGTGGTCGTCGATCTCCGGCGTCTCTGATGGTACACGTGTCGAAATCGCTGATGATGTCCTCATCAATTTAGAAACGGCGAAATTATTTTTTGGTCACTGTTTGGATGGGACGCTTCTATAGAAATGCTTTTTAGGGAACTTTATTTTTCTACTGTTTTGATAAGTTTTTTGATATTTGCTTCTCCATTAGAAAACTTCATTCTCTTAACCATTGTTTCTAAAACTATTTTTTACAAAAAGAGAGGAAGAACGAAAGGAAGCCTTAGTGTATTTTTGTTCGTTCCTACCTGTTTCTATATTCATGCATGAACTTGAATATTTTTTTCTGCACAAAAAGCTATCTAATTTAAATACTGAATGTTACCTTCTATTGCATAACGTTTACAGAAAAAAACACAGGTAATAATCTTTGTTGGATTTTTTAACCTTATCCAAGAAAATTGTATTATATACTTGATCCTTAAATTTGTAACCATATCTGTCTGTGATGGCTAGTAGCAGTTGGTTGTTGTGTTGACGATCATCTCTCTTTTCCTTGTAGCCTAGCTATTGTTTGTACACATTTACTGGACACAGTTCTCAAGTTACATCAGTGGATTTCCATCCAAAGAAAACAGACGTTTTATGCTCTTGTGACGGCAATGGAGAGATTCGATACTGGAATGTCACACAATTTGCATGTTCTCGTATTTCGAAGGTTTCTTCTTTAACCATGTACCTATTTGCAAGTTAATAAGATTTATCCACTTATTATGGAGTGCATTTTTGTTATGAATAGGGCGCAACAGCACAAGTGAGATTTCAGCCTCGCGTTGGACAGTTTCTTGCTGCAGCTGCAGAAAATGTGGTGAATATTTTTGACCTTGAGAAGGATAGAATAACCCGAACTTTAAAAGTATGTTGTTGCATTTTATTTATCATTGGATTTGGACAGCAAGGCTTCAAAAATTTTTTTCTGTAACCGCTTGTCAGGGCCTTAATTTATTAATGTTGTTGAGATCGCATATTGGCAGGGTCATAATAAGGAGATACACTGTGTTTGCTGGGACACAAAAGGGGATTTCCTTGCTTCGGTTAGCCAGGATTGTGTAAAAGTGTGGTCACTGACATCAGGAGATTGTATCCATGAGCTCAACTCCAATGGGAATAACTTTCATTCATGTGTTTTTCATCCCAGCTATCCAAATCTCCTGGTGATTGGAGGATACCAGGTAAATCTTTTTTTTTTTTTTCTTGAATAAATCATGTTTCCACTCCAATGCTTGTAAATCATTTTTTTATGTGGAATCTGATTGTGTGGATCGACCGGAATGTACTATTATCTTAGACCTAAATACTGTTGGTTGAGTTTGATGGGGCCTTGTAGGGAGGTAGGGTCCCTTGCTTGGGGTTCATGGGGCCTTGCCTCTATTTTTTCTTACAAGTGCCGCAAAGCTATATGCTGGAGCACTATAGCGCTCTAGGTTTGGGCTAGAGACAAAGCAGAGAGTTGCGGCGCTCCAAATCCCGGCGCCACAGCACCTGTTAGCGCCATAGCATTGTAGGATGACTCAAAGATAGAGAGTGGATTGTTGCGTTGCTCTAGACCTCAACGTCGCAGCATTGTGAATTGGGCTGAGCAGTTTTTCTTCTCTTTTTCTTGTTTAACTAAAAGGGTTGCATCCATTGGTATATTAAAAAAATCTTTATTTGTGCTGAGTACAGAACAAATTGAGAAGTGAAGAGAGACAAGGAGAGAGAGTGCGAGAAGAGAGATTTGTATAATTTCTCTCAATTTTCATAGTGAATTTCTTGGTTCATAGTGAATTTCTTGGTGTGGTGTGGCTTCGTGATTTTTTCTTGGTTTCAGATTTTTTTCACATTAAATCCTGGAGTTCATTTCCACTATTTTATTTTCTTATTTGTTTCGTTAAATGCTGCTCTTTTGAATAAGAGATGCTTTTAATTACAAACCTGTACACCTTTATGCATGGGCATTTACTCACACATTGCTTGCAATTTGTTATCTTAGCGCTTTTTTGTCTCTATCAACTACCTGATATGATGAAAAGCTTGATTCCATTGCACTATCTTTTTTATGTTTGAACATAGAGGTAATTGGTAAATTGAAAGCCAGCAGCATTGTCTGTTTTTTATTTATTTGTAATCAAATCTTGTTAACCATTCATGTTTAAATCTGCAATAGCTTTTACTCGTACTTTGCTAAATTTTTTTGAACAACTTCAACTCACCTTAACTCCTGCAATCTGTTTTTGATAACAATTTACAAACTAAACTGAAATTTCATTTCTGATTGATTTCCTTTTTTATATTTTCAGTCCTTGGAGTTATGGAATATAATTGACAAACAGACCATGACAGTCCAAGCTCATGATGCCCTGATCCCAGCCTTAGCTCAGTCACCCTCAACAGGAATGGTTGCCTCAGCTAGCCATGACAAATCTGTTAAGTTATGGAAATAAGTGGCCTGTATGATTAATCTATTCACTTGTTGATGCATCTCTCTTACCATCAGAGAGTCATTCAGATAGAGATTTGACAGAAGCAATAATGTTCTTGATCATTTTTTTTCTTCTTCTTTTTTTTTTTCACTTTGGGTTGGTTGGTTTCTAGAGAATTAATAAGGTTTGCAAGAGATATAAATGAGCTGTTGGACGCATTGAATCTTCAAGAACTTGGCGGTGGCTTTTCCTGATATTGTACGCTGTGGTGTTAGGAAGATATCAAACCAATTTCTGTATCAGAGAAACAAAAGGCTTCTTTTCCTCTAAGTCCCCAACCCCTTCTATTTGATAATATTTGTATATGTAAGAACTTATTATGAGAATCAATATCTACTTGGATATGACTACTATGGTTTTAGAACTTTCAATAATTTAATAAAAAAATCTATTTTAACAAATGCAGGTGGAATGTGAATGAAATTATGCATTTTCTTCTCTATGCTATGTCATCAATAATTGTTTTATTTGAGGTGAATGTGTTGGAGCCTCATCTGTTATGTTTTTTTAGCGCTATTTGTGGAAATTAGTTTAGACCATCTCCAACGGAAAATCACATTTTCACTCCAAAATGCTGTGAAACTTAAAAATGCCGTGATTGATCTTCAATGGAACTCCATTTTGAGAAGGTAACAATCTTTTTTTCTTTCGCGCGCTTCTTGTCAAGTTCGGTAGACCGAGAAAAATAACGATGATGAACAGTTCAACGTTGATATTGGCGTCCTATTGTTCACCCGCATGGAAATAGCGGAAGTTTCACCGTTCGGCTGGAGCTCGGAGGCGACGGCATTCAAGCATTTGGAGTTCTATTGGAGATGCCCTTATAATGTGTGTATTGTCAATGTGCTTTGTTCTAATCAACACAGCGCTGACTTCAAAGCACATTTTTTTTTTGTTTTAATACTTCATCGGCAAATTTTAGCTTGCCTAAAAGAAAGATGATGTTGAGAAGAAATGTCTTTAGCTGCATGAAGCTTGACTTTGGAGTTATCTACATTCCATAGGGTGGTAACTTATTCGGCCCTTAGGTGAAGACTTACAACAACATTAGGGTATATAAGTGTTTCAGCATGTATTCCAGTGCAGTTATATAACTCTCTCTTAGACTAAGAGTTTTTATACCCCTCAGGGTTGTGATTAGGGGTGTAATTGAGTCAAGCCGACTCGTGAGCTGGCTCAGATTTGACTAAGTAACAAGCTCGACGAGTCAAGCTTATCGAGCTTGCGAGGTGAGCTCGAACACGATTTCGAGCTCGAATAGACTTCTGCTCGGCGAGCAGCTCGCGAAGGTGACCGGACGGGATAACAGAGCTTGGGTTTGCGCGGGCAAGAGGATGAATTGAAGATGGGTGGGAAAATCAAAATGGCAGAGTTTAGTCGACAGCGGAACTAGGGAAGACAACGGAGTTCACGTGCTGCTCGATCGTGAAACTCTGGACGACCAAGCTCAGTGATGTAGCTTGAGACAACAAAAGGTCGGAGGCTCGGAGCTCACGTGCTGGTAGCAGGGCTAGCCTGATCGGGATGATGAGCTCACGACTTCGATGGAGCTCGACGGGACGACGGGGCTGGACGATCAACATAGCTCGGGATGACGTAGCACTGGATGATGCTTGATGACAGAGGTCGGGAAGGATCTCGACGAGCCGCTCGACGTGAGACAAGTCAAGCTTTAGCTCGTTTTTTGAGCTTGACTCGAGCTCTGTATTTGACAATCGAGCTTGACTCATCTCATTTGCACCCCCTAGTTGTGACCAGTACGAATTTGGTCTGTTTAGAGCGAATGGATGAAAATTCCAGTTTATTTGAAGTAGATAAGAAAGTAAGAGTTCTTACATCCTTTAGGGTTGCGACCACCAAAAAATATTTAGGGGCATAATTGAGAATTCATCTTGTGTCCGGATATTCTAAGATTTTTTTTTTCTTTTATATGAATAATGATCTATAATTCAAATAATTTTGATATTTATTTAAAAATAATCACTGCTATCATTAAAATTGTTAAATCATCAAGCCTATATATATTGTATTAATTAAATAAAAAAATAAATTTTTTTAACTTGAAAGTTGACTAAGCTAATTCAACAAATTAATTAAATATAAATAATTATGTATTTAAATATTAGCTGTTGGTGAATATATATTTATTAATAACACCGTGACTCATAAATCTGACCCAACTGGCAGCGATCACTGTACGGTTCTGTTTTATTTATTTATTTTTTATAAATTGTAACAAAAAATTGTGGAAGTCATGAAATATTCAGAAAATATTTGTCAGATTATTTTAATTATATTAATTAATTAAAAATTGTATAGCATTTTCTTAGAGATAAATTGTAACAGCCTAAACTCTTAATCATCGAGATATTGTCTTTTTTGAACTAATAGCTCAAACTCTTAACCATCGAATATTATTCATTTTGTTCTAATGATCTTATAATTTTGCCTCATTAGTATAACTTTCTAGGGAGAAATTATTTTGTGCAGAGGCCGGACATAGCTCTACATCAGGAGGCGAATCATGTGCATTCATGTCAGCGATACAAAACAGTGGTACCAAGCGGTAACGAGCAGTACCGAGCCGCGGTACACAACAAAGGAATGATGTGGATCATTCTTATTGGTTTCCGAACAACGTTCGGTGTCCGCACAAAATAGTTAATCGTTTCTAGGAGGTCACACATCCTAGAAGTGCTCTTGTACACGCATGACTAACTTTTAGACTTTATAATAAAATTCTAATAGTTACACAAAAAACTGCCTTGAAATTTAAGAGTTTATTTTTATTCAGCTTAAAATATTTTACAATATCTGCCCACTTAAATAACTGATATTTTTGTTATTTTTCTTAATCTATGATCACCTATCAGATAGATGACTTTTATTTGGTCCGGTCATAGGGCGTAGCTCTACGTTCGGCCGACAGTAGCTACGCGTTCTCACTATTTACCGCACGCCCCGACAACCCGATCCGGAACGGACCCAAAATGGCTTGATATTTATCGATTTTATTAGGTATTGCTAGGTATTGGCCGATTTTGCTCGGCAATAACCAATACCGAGAAAATACCGAGCAATACTGAGCAAATACCGAGTTATACCAAGCAATACCGAGTTGTACCGAGTTTTTTAGAAAAACTCGGTACAACTCTGTATTGCTCGGTATTGCTCGGTTTTAGTCTTCACTGAGCGGTATTTCTCGTTATTGTCAAGCAATACCTAGCAATACCGAGCAATACCGAGCAAATACCGAGTAATACCTAGCAATACGCGAACATAGCATTCCCGGGATCCGGTCCAGGTCAAGTCGTCGGCTGCACGGTAAAAAGTAAGAGCACGTGACGATATGTTATTTGCGCCCGAACGTAGCTCTACGTCCGATTAGAAAATGTAATAATTGTTCCAGATAGATAGGATTTTAAATGGTGATCGTTCTTTGCTGAAACGGTAAAAACTCAGAGGATTCTCTTGCTTTTTTTGTTTTATTTAATATTTTGGAACAGCCAGCTATTTATTATTATTATTATTATTATTTAAATATTTTATCCAATAAGAAAATGACAAAGACGTAGTTGTTAAATCCTTAGCGTCAGGTGCCATATGCTGTCAGGGCAATGACACGATTTATATGAGGAGAATTTTTATTATTGATATATCAGACTCATAGGAGAGCTAACAAAGAGAAACACCTTAACACTATCAAGGGATGCAACTCTTTATGAAAAATGAAACTACTTAGTCCGACTCGTAGCGCCACTCAACTTCACACTCTATCTCTAGTATGCCTAACAACACTGTAGTGCTGTGTTTTGGAGAGCCAAAGTGCTACACTTTTTATTTGTCTCTAAGCAAATTATACAGAGCCACAACGCTCGAGTATGCAACGGCACAATGTTGTATGATTGTAAGGAAAATATTTTTTAGGTGCAAAGCACTCGAATCCAAAGCCGGGGGTGAGCTTGACCGATGAAATTGAGGTTGGAGGCAACAACATAACTTGATTGTTTGACAAAATCATATTCCACTAAATTAACAATTTCAAAGTTGTTTTAGCATTATAGCAAGTGAATGAACTTGTATGACGGGATCAACACTGTGATTTGTGAATGATGAAGAAGTCATGATATGCGAATTAGGGCAAAAGGGAAGAGAAATGAGAGTTAAGATTATGTAGGATTCAAATCTATTATTGTTGAAGTGTGGTACGTATGAACTCAAACGATCAGAATTGTATTGTGTACAATGAAGTCTTGGACGATATTGTATGGCACCAATGTGGTAAGTCATATATTTTTTGTAATTTAAATTTTTAAGTATTATGTGATTGATTAGTAAAATTTAGGTTATAGCGTATGGAATTGTTAAAAAAAAAAGAAAAAAAAAATTGAAGGGAAATCAATGTAGTCTTGGTCGTCGACGGTCTACCCCACTACATTACTTCGCTCGCCTACCTAACGAGAATCAAAGAAGACGAGGCTATTGATTTGCCTTCGGTGTTGTCGAAATGTCGGAGCTTGTAGCGGAATCATGGAGGCGTTACCTTCGGCAGCTAAAGCTTCATCCTCTCAGGACAAAGGTTCTTCTTCTCCTCCTCCTCCTGCCGCCCCAATCTTTTGTGTTTTTCTCTTGGATGGGTCTGAAGCTTTTGAGTTCCATGCGTTCACTTTGCCCGTGCTTTGACTTTAGGCAATTACATCTGGAGTATTGGCTGGTTGCAGCGACGCGGTTGCACAGAAAATCTCCGGCATAAAGAAGCTGCAACTTAGGAGGCTGCTTCTGATCATGGTATGCTATTGAGTTTATTTTTTTTCACTGAACTCAATCTTCTGTAGTTGGAATTTAAATTTTTTTTCTAGTTTATTATTTAATTATGAAAAGTTGGCATAAGGCTGATGATTATGAGTTGAAGATTGGGATGACTGAAAATATTTGTGTTGGTGATCTCAAAAAATTGATTTTATAAGGTAAGAAGTAAGATATCTTGCTTCTGCTATGGTGTTGGTTTCAAAGCTTGCACCTTTTCATGGATGTATAAAGTGCTCAAATGTAACAGTGCGATTAAAAGATACCAGAATAATAACGCATAGTTATTTTACTTCATGTGTTCTTAAAATTGATCTTAGGTAGTTATTAGTAGGTTTTGTTCCTGCAGCCATGGTATTTTATTCAAAGGTTGCGTCTTTCCATGTTTATGCATGGAACTCAATATGATTAAGGCATCTGTAGATGAGCATGTCCTTGTTATTTGCTTTTTATGAAAAGACATAATTGTCTTGTTCGATTAAGCTCTTTTTTTTCTTGTTTGATCGTGCCTAATTAATATGTTTTCCATCTTCCTTTACTTTGATTAGTCTCTTTAATTTTCCAAACTCTTTCAAATATGTTTCATGTCCTAAACTGTTTCCTTCCAAACTTAACTAGCTTCATTTCGACTCGCCAATACTGTATTCTGTTGCTAGTGATCTGATACCTATCTCTAAAAACTCAAAATGATGAAGGCACATTTCAGAAGCCTCATAATTACAGAGATGGTTTCTGAATCCTTATTTTATTTTATTCTTAGCTCAATCCTATGTGCTACAAATATTGTTGTTCTTCCTGTCATCTGCAAACTTAAATCTTCCTGTTTCAGCTTTCCTTTCTTAATTATTATTTACCCTCTTGATTTAGATATGGACTTGTGGACTCTCTTCATGGTAACTACTAATAGTATTACTTGAGGTCTAATAACTAGATTTGTGCATGTTGATTGTTGTCAAAGGTGATCAGTTGTATTATTAGTCTGTTGTTCTTTGTCTGATATGTTTTATTGTTGGAATTTGTTATCTGTCTATCTTCACTTCTTTGAATACCATCTTTACAGTTTTACCAAAGTTTGAAAAAGCACTATTGGATAACAATTGCTCTTCATATTACTATTGACCTGGTAGCATTACAACTAGGATATACCTTCACTTATGTTGTCTCCAAAGTGCCATTTCTTTATGTTCCCTAACTTCTCTCAATTCATTACCGTGATAGAAAATAGAGTGATTTTATCACTGGGCAGTTACTTATGTAACATTCAAAACAAACACACTCCTACCTCCATTTTTTCAAATGATCACCCAAATATTGAAGTTCACAACAAAATCCTAACTGGAAATTTTTTGCTTTTGTTAAATTCCCAACTGACACAGCTCACCTTAGTCTGTTGTTTGATATTTTAGGCTACCAACTAAGAGGTCTTGGGTTTGAGTATTGTGTATGTGATGTGTGTGTGGGTCTGCCTTAATTGGCCTAAATGTAAAATAAAAAATAAAAAAATAAAAAAATCCCAACTGTTTGATTGTGCCATGCGCAACTACATCAATTTGATAACTTAAAAAAATAACATGGTTGTTGGTTTTGTAAATAAGTATGTTTTATGTGTTGTTTATGTAATTTCCCCTTTACTATTTTATAATTTGTTAAAACATTTACCTATTTTCTTGCTACTCTTTTATTTAGAAATAATCTCTTTGATTATAATTTTGCTTTCTTAAGGAAATCCCAGAGAACTACTGAAGTCCTTTAAGTTTGATCCGAGCTTCTATAAGTCAATATCTGTCTCTCTTGTATAGAACTACAGTATTTTTTTTTATCGTAAGTACTAATTCATTATTATTTTTTAGCTTTACGGTTTTGCCTACGCGGGGCCATTTGGACACTTTCTGCATAAACTTATGGATCATATTTTCAAGGGAAAGAAAGGAAACTCTACTATTGCTAAGAAGGTATGTTTTTTTTGCTTTTATATCAAATATAGACCTAAGTTTGCATTGGCAATCCATTAATCACTATTTCTTTTTACTATGCGTTTGACTGTAGAGAAGTTATTTTGAGTAATTATTCATTTTGTTTTTTAGGTTTTGCTGGAACAATTGACTGCCTCACCATGGAACAATATCTTTTTCATGATATACTATGGTTTAGTGGTAGAAGGTAAACAGAAGTTGCAAACCATTTTTTGCTGAGTGTTTCTTACAACTTCTTTATGGTTTCTATTATTTTATCTAATTTTGTTTTTATAAAGTTGCAGCTGTTGTTTTCTAAAACCTGTTAAGTGTAAAATCTTCTTGTCAGAGCAATTCCAAAGCTCTTTTTGTTAGTCCTCTCAATCTCCTATTACCCTAATGTAGTTTAAATCATAGTATACCCTAGCTATCTTGCAACAAGTCGATGGCGACTTGAATACTATTAGGCTCGGGCCAAAAAGCTTGCGATGTAATATATGTGATATGATTTAATTTTGAGAATTTTTGGGGGATCTATGATATTAATGAATGGATTTGAACAAGGCCCAATGCCAAACCTTTCTTATTTTTTGCTCACATATTTATATACATGAAATTAAGGTTTTGCAATTGTTTTATGTGAACCACTGTTCTCCTTTTGTACATGTTTATCAATGTAGTGAATTCTTCTTCTTTGCTTGTGATTTTTTATCAATATAGAATTTTTCTCATAAAACGGCTTGTTGTGTGATAGAAAAATCCCCGTCAAACTTAAGGGACAATTTTATAAGATGGTGGTAAGACCTGCAATGCTTTATGGTGCCGAATGTTGGCCATTAAAAGAGAAGCATAATACTAAGTTGAGTGTTGCAAGGATGAGGATGCTCAGGTGAATGAGTGGCTTTACCCTTGGAGATAGGATACGAAATGAGCATATACGTGAAAATGTTGGAGTTTCTCCTGAGGAAGATAAGATTAGAGAGAGTTTCCTTAGATGGTTTGGTCACATAAAACAACGGTCTTCCGATGACCCGGTTAGGAAAGTAAAGATATTAGATTTGACTTATGTTAAGAAATTTAGAGGTAGACCTAAAAAGACTTGGTTAGAAAATATTAGAAATGATTTTTCTTTATTAGATTTAAACGAGAATTTGACTTTTAACGAGACACAATGAAGAAAAATGATTCTCACGTAGTGGGACAAAGGCTTGATGTTGTTGTTGTTGTTGTATAGAATTTTTCTCATAAATCAGAGTGTTACATGATTTGTGTTTTTTTTTTCTTATTTTTGATATTATTGTTTCATCTTTCATCCTTGCTGATTGAGAAAAAAATGAATTAGTGGGTTAAAGATACCATCGGGAAAGGGAAAAAAAGAAGAAATGAAACATATCTCACGTATAGTCTGTTTACTTTCTTCATACGACATTTTTAACCAGTTAGTAGCTTTTATACCCTTAATTATGAACTAGTAATGGTGCCAAATAGGACTTCTGTAGCAAATTAAGAAGCCTTTACTTGATAATAACGGCTATTTAGAAAGTGCAATGCAAACTTAAAAACCTGAATTCATCAGATTCGTTTTACTTTGGATTTGTTTTTTATCAATCAATAATTGCAAATGCATTATTGCAGGTAGGCCTTGGTTCTTGGTCAGGAACAAGGTTAAAAATGATTATCCTACCATCCAGTTGACTGCATGGAGGGTATCTTTCTACAAACATATATTTTCTTTTAATATGAAATAGGTGTGGCTCCTAAGTCCTAACTTCTGGGACCTTCGTATGCAGTTTTGGCCAATAGTTTCGTGGATTAACTACCAGTACATGCCTCTTCAATTTCGCGTTCTATTCCACAGCTTTGTCGCCTCATGCTGGTCTGTATGATAACTTTATATCCTTTCTTGTTTATTATGTTAGGCATTCCCCAAACTGAGCACCTTAAAGATAAAGCAATTAACTATGATGATTCATCTTTTAGCACATCAAATATTATACTTATTTTTATGTTTTGCAGAAGATCTGATTGCATACATATTAATCAACAATTTTTTGCATGTTTGTTTGAGTTTATGTAGCCCTTAAATTTTTGTTACTATGCATTTCACCATAATGTGGATAAATATTCTTAAGAAGTCTAAAAGAGATTATGAGTTTGTGATGTAACTTTGGAAGAAAGAAAGAGAAATAAAATAAGTGTTGTATGGATAATAAATCTTAAAGAAGGTCCCCATCGCACGAGATTTAATTGTCATAGATACATTAAATTTAGCCATCTCTCAATTTGCTATATTTTTCATGACCTTGATCAATAGCCAATAGGGCACCATAATGCATAAGTTTTGTAAAGCCTTAGTAAATAGCACAATGTACTTTTGAATATACTTGTCAATAGAGAATAGAGCATTATAAAGCAAAGGTTCCATGCAACCTCTAGTTCAAGTATCGACATTGGTTGCTTCTTCTACTTCAAGCATTTTGTATGTCAGGGTGTGTATTTGATTGGTATCATCTATTTGGTTGGTAGATTTGCTATCCTAATTGGTTTTGGTTCTAAAATTAAGACAACCAAACCAACCAAATTATTTTTCAAGTTGAACCGAACCAAACATTAGTATCATCAATCCAATTTGATTTTGGATGAGCCGAAATGTAATTAGCTTTAACAATAAACCTAATTATCTTTAGCTTAAATAGCATGTATTAAGAATAATATGAAACAATCTTTGCTAAATTTTAAATTTTAGCATGCAATATAAATAGCATTTACATTAATCTTTTTATCACTTTTCATGAACTTTATTGATTTAATAATTGAAAAAAATTGCATAATTTTGTTTTTGTTTTGATCATTTTTATATAAATATAAATAAAACTAATTCAAAATTATAATTAATAGCCCAAGTGATACTTTAACATTCAAACCAAACCAACCAAATAAGATCAATTTAGATCCATTTTTCTTTTTGGGTTTTATCCAAATCATGCACATTCCTGCTTGCATGTTTCCCCATTGCTTATGGATGAGTCACAGCCTTTGGAAGAAGGTTCATAATCAATGTCTTCAAAAGCGACACCATTGGAATCAACAGCTTCTAGAGGAAGGGTCATTGTTACTATCGTTGGCTTTAGATGACCCAGGAGGAAGACTTGCAGTCATAGCAGACGGCTTCTCTAAAAGGTTGGAGGTCTTAGGCTTCGTTTGGGACGGTTTTTTTACTGCTTCTTGAAGCAACTTTTTAGTACAAAAATTTTAATTTTTACACTAAAAAATTGCTTCAAGAAGCAATTAAAAAGCCGTTCCAAATGAAGCCTTAGTTGCATTAGTTGGCCTTCTGGATGAATGCTGGAGGAAAGATTACAGTTACTTCTTTTGGTTGACTCCATGATCCACTCTTTCTCATGGGAGGAAACTAAAGGGTGCAACTATCACTCACGCATTAATGGGATGGTTTAGAATCTCGAGAGAGTTTAAGAGATTTAAAATGGATTTTAAATAAAACTGTAATTATATTTGAAAAAATATTGCAAGTAGGATTATAATTTTGCACTTGCTAATTGCTTGTGAATATTTTATAATGATCAGCCGAGATAAACTCAGCTATGAAAATCAAAATAAATAGTATTCATTTTCTATTACAACTTTCTTAGTTAATTACTCCTTGGAAACAATGAGTATTTCAGCTCTGCAATATGAGCCAACTGATCTCATCATTCTGTGTTGCTTTGTTTTGTGCTGTATTGTTATCATCATAGAATAGTATCTTACAAAATACAAGTCAAACATGCATGATACATTTTGAGTTAAGTTTTCCTAGTGATTTTTTTTGATAAAAGTGGTTTTTTGAATAATAAGAGATTTAGGCTTTGTTTGGGACAGCTTTCTTACTTATTTGTTAAGCTGCTTTTTTGTACAAAATTCTCTTGAAAGCAGATAAAAAATAGTAGTCTAAAACAGTTGCAAAAGAACCCTGGAACAGCTTTCTTACTTGCATCTTAAAGCAGCTTCTTGGTACAAAAATTTTAACTTTTATTCTAAAAAGCTTTTTTAAGAAACAGTAAGAAAGTCATCCCAAACGAAGTCTTAGATTGTTTGGTGGCTTCTGCATGCTGTTCTTTTACCCTCCCATCGTTTACAAATTTGCCATCCAATGCTATTATGAAAATATGTTCTGATTTTGTGGAATATACAAACATTGCTTCTATAACTTTGTTTAATTTCTGATATCAGGGCTGTATTTCTGAATCTCAAAGCAAGATCAGCTGCTACTATTGCTATTAAGGCAAACTAACTATGAAAGAGAAAGAGGAGAGCTGCCGTTAGACTCTCAATTCCAAATTTGAACTGTCCAAGCAGTTTGTATAAGATGGATTTGTAGATTTTTACTTGCTTTTTTAGGATTCCTATACTTGTTTGGGCAACTATGGATCTATAAGTTGATTGCTGTCACTGCTGCTTTTTGTTTTAATGGGTTTCCAAAGAGTATGGAAAGCTCTTTATTGTCATGAATTCTATATACTTATGAACTACTATATTTATTGGAACTGACTCAGATATATCTGAATAAATTTTCTTTTTTTCATTGAAATTTCAAGTCATTAATCTTTTCAGGGGCAGTTAAGCAGTGCACCATGCAAATGTTGGGCTGTGCATTATGTGGTGCCAATCTGGGTAGTCCTTTAACACTTCCTGAATGATCAAAATGGTTTCCAATTATATTAAATGATCATTTTAGTCTTTTAAATTTTTAAAAAAGAATCAAAATAGTCTCATGGTGGTTCTATTTTAGTTCCTCTTTAAATAGTTGAGGGATCAAAATGATCTTTTAATATAGTTGAGGATCATTTTGATCTTTCATAAAGAGTCAAGGGATATACATAGTAATTTATGTATAATCAAAAAGGAAAATAATATAGTTTGGAGATATATGGTTTATTAAAAACAAAAAATGATTATATGATTTTTTAAGTAATTTATCCCTCTTCATTCATTTTTTAGTCTTTATTATAAAGGTTATCAGGCAATTGTCCCTCTTAAAATTTTTAAAATATTATGTTCTTTAGGTACTTGCCCCCATCAAATAGTAAAGAGAATTCATCATTGAATTTCAGGTCGAATTTGACCAGGTGGCGCTGCCTCCTTGGACCCCGACATATATGCCCCCCCTGAATATTAGGGCTGATTCCGCCCCTGACATTGAGTGTAGTAGCATAAGGTCATGAGTGTAATGGAATATGATAAATGATGGTCATGGCTCCATGGCAATTGGTGATGCAGCGCTAAAATGCGAATCTTAAAGCATTAGAAGATGTCAACAAGAATTTCACGAGATCGTTAGAGCTCGAAAATTCTTCGATGATTTAGAAGTTTCATGTATTAACAATAAAAGAGGATATTCTCAATAAAATATATTATAATAATTTTTTTATTGGAATGAGATTCAAAATCATCATTAGATTTAATATCGGATAAATGTAATATAAATTTTGATTGATTATTCGCATATTATATTGATTTCAAAGTATATATTAAAATATTTTGAAATCCATCATAATTAATTAAAAAAAAAATCGTATTTTTATTTGCTTTTCCTAACTTTTGTTCCATTCGTCAGAGTATCGCTCCCTTCCTGCTATTGCTTTCTCATTCAAATAACAGTTTGCAATAAATAAATAGCATGCGAGCTGTCCTCTAAAGAGAAGGCATAATGGTTGGTTTTTTTGGTCGCTTCAATGGCTTCCAATCAAACTCAAATCTAACATTAAATGAGTTTGAAAGGTGGCTTAGGCTCCATTTGAGATAGCTTTTTTACTGCTTTGTTTTTCAAATCTCAATCATAATTTTTGTTTAATCATTATTTTTTCACTACTTAAAAAATTTTGTACTAGGAAGCTGCTTTAAATTTCTACAATAGCTTTTAAAAAATTGATTTCTATATAGCTATCCCAAATGAATCCTTAGACTAACGGGCTCAAACACCTTATTCCAATATAAATCGAGTCATAGTGATTTTTGAGCCGATCGATCGCATTCTGATAAATGACTCATGAGTTGAATTTCATGAACTAATGAGCCATGTTTAAGTAAATCCCGACTCAAACTCATTGTCTCATGAGCCAACTAGCACATTTAAAAAATATGAGCTTAAAGTATACTTAAAATATATTAGAGTTCAAGAGTTTAAGGAAAAGAAGCTGATTAAAATATTTAAAATTATAGCAAAATGTTTGTTATCTCAACTAATTTTTTGTTATTTTTATTTGAAGTTCTCATTCCTTTTATTATTTTATTTTAATGCAATTTTAATTAAAATTGTCGTTATTTTATAATCAACGAGTCGGTTTGAACTCATAGAATTGAGCTTGAGCTCAAAACTTGATTGATTAGTCATGTTTATCGTCAAGCTAAAGGTAGCTCGAACCCGATTCCACTAATTTACATCCTTATTAATGTCACTGAAAATTGGTTATGTTAATGGTTTTAATTAATTTGTTAACCTAGTTTACACATTATGTCATCAAACAAATTTTGACATGGATGGAACAATGTTCAAACATTAGTTGGCCATGTTTCAATTAATGTTCAAATATGTTCTAGCCATACTCTAATATGATTCAATTCATGTTCAAATAATATTTAAATAGTAAAAAAAAAATTATGCTAACAAATAATATTTTATAGGTTAATCAAATATTAATTAACATTTGGAAGAGAATGAAAAAAAGACATGTAAGTTGGTTGGATATATGTCGAAAAATAGACCAATGTTTGATGTTATGATGAAGAAGATTTTATCGATCTTATGTACAAAGTGAAGAAACTAGAGATGATGTTTGGATTTGTTAAAGCACGACAAAAAAATTTTATTATCTTGAACTAAGATGCTTATATATTATAATCTTACTTTTTTCTTGAATAAGATATCATTATCTGTTCAACATCGATCTCCCATTTGTGTATTTATTGCTTTCAAGAATATTTTGACTATGATTTTTTTTGTAGAAATGAGGATGCTATAAGATTAATCAATTCAACATCTTATGGTAATATAGGTGATGATGTAGGTATAAAAAAAGGGAGTTATCGTGTTAACCTTTTTTCGGGAAGTCTAAGAGTGGTCATCTAAATCCTAAACTTTATTTGAACCATGTTCAAGTCATATACATCTGAACCCTATTCAAAGAGTATTTCAGTAGTGCTTAAAATTTTCTCGTTGTAGTTTTAATTTTGATCAAAATTCATCCAATTGTTGTTCAAACTAATGTTGGTCGTGACGGACTTAGGAAACTATTAAGCAGACAAAAGCGTGGGGGTCGGGTTGGATGGGTAGTTTGTTTTGTGTGCATTATATATGGCTACCTTTGAGCTATCAAAGACTCCTAAAGAGTCAAATAAAATTTTCTTAGGTGTAATGCATTATGAAAGAACTTTTTATTTCCAATATAGAAAGGGACATAATATTTGGAAACATATGGCTTAATCTCTGTAGTCTATGCATTGAATTGAAGTCTTTTAAGATCATCAATGACGAAATCTTTTGTTGCTTTTGTTGAACTCTCTTCCTCATTGCATTGGCCTAAACATTGAAAAAGTGTGCCCTAAATTCAAGTTATGGCTATTTTGGTCCTTTAGACAAAATATATTTTAGATTTTTTTTTTTCAAGCATGTAAGTAAAAATTATGTATTTTTGAGTATTTTGATAAAGCTTTGAAATGATTTATCTAATTTAAAATCAAGAATATTTATGCCTAATTATAACATATTATAATTGTTAAAATAAAAGCAAAAGGATATAATTTTTATATATCTATTTCGAAAAAAGGGCACCATATAAACAACAAGTAAAATAAAATTTATGGCTAATAATATATGTCATATAATCGATCATTTTCTCTATTTATTTCTTAGATTTTATTTGGGATAATTTTTTTATTATTTTCTAAAACAGCTTTTTAGCACAAAAAATTTTAGTTCAAGAAATTTTTGTGCTAATAACATATTTAAGAAAGTCGTCCGAAATGAAGCCTTAAAACGAAGAAATTCTTATACTAAAGACCTATTTTAGGCTTCGTTTGGGACGGCTTTCTTGTTGCTTCTTAAAACAGCTTTTTAATACAAAAGTTTAAATTTTTGTATTCGAAACCTGCTTTAAGAAGCAGTAAAAAAGCCGTCCCAAGGTTTCGTTAATTTGGGATAATTTCCTTACTGCTTTTTAAAACAACTTTTTAATATAAAAATTAAAAAAAGTCGTCCAAAACGAAGCCTTAGTGTTAGTATATCAAAATGATTTTTTAAGAAAAAAAAAATTACTTCATAATATCATGATGGACTTAATGTTGTGTAGGAATTAATTAATCATAGCTTCGTGTATGGATTCATTTTTACTAATTTATTTATCCGAACTAATGGTAATGTATGTATGAATATTAAATATCAATGCTTATGAAAATATAATAGATAGTTATCTGGAAGAAAATTATTAATAGTGAAATTCCTTAACCAAGTTGAGGTTTTTTTTTTTTTTTTTGCATGTTAACACCTATTTTTAATTTTAGAAAAAAAAAAAAGATATTTTAACACTCAATGTAGCATTTTAACCAATTATGCACCATCAAATGTAGAACAAATAGAAATATATGAAGAAATGATATCAGATATCGCTGGCCTACAATTTGGAAAAAAATTTCTTGCTTCCTGAATGCAAGACAAAATAATTTCATGATTTGTCGCAAGCGGCTCAACGAACATGACAATGGAGTTGCACACGAGCACTCACCAAAGACATTAAGACCAATAGTCATGGGTCGACAACAGATTGCAGCAAGTTTATATAAATATAAATATATCTTAATTAGGATGTTAATTATATTATTTAGCCTTAAATTTCATTTGGAATAGCTTTCTAACTATATTGATATTTAGATCACAACCATAAATTTTATATGATCGCTATTTTTTTTACTGCTTTCAATAAATTTTTATGCTAAGAAGGTGCTTTCTATAATAACTTTCAAAAAAATCATTTTTTCTACAGCAACTTTACGACATAACCGACTTTATAAAAAGTTGCAGCCATCCCTCTTAGATGAATGTCAATAACATTAATCTTCGATATACATAATACATAGACCTCAAAAATGTATATAACAGGAGAGGGGTTTTCAGGTCGATCACATAACAATCAGATTTTGAATTGTGAAGCAATGCCGAGTCAAGCTTTTAGAACATGGCTTATCATATCTAGCTCAGGCTTTGTTTGGGACGGCCTTCTTCTGGCTTTTTAAAGCAACTTCTTCTTAGGTAAAAAATATTTAATTCATAAAACTTTTCGTACTAAGAAGTCGCTTTAAAAAGTAATAAGAAAGCTGTCCCAAACGTAGCCTAAGCCGCTCATCCCAGATATTAAATGTGGCGACGCATGAAATGGTGAGACGACATATAGCTATACTAACTGAGCATTTGCATGTATATGTGCATAAGAAGCAGACGAAATGAAAGCTTTGCAGCAGTAATATTAATAGAAGAAAGGCCTATAAACATCGATAGAAAATAAGGAGGAAACATTAATAATATGGGAGGAAGAGAGTGAAGAGAGAGAGAGAGATTGCTTACAACCCAATCCATAGCCCAACATAGGACAAGATGAGTTGGCATAAAAGGATTGGTACAATACATAATTATGTGAGGATAGAAAAGCTTTCTCTCTCTTTCTCTCTCTTTTAGCATCAATATATTAAACATATTATAAAAATGTATGTGAGGCATCATTATTAGATTCAAAATTACTCATGAAAATCTTTCAATGCTTAAGAAGAGAAATGAGTGATACTCAAAGAATGAGAGAGAGAGAAAGAGAGGATCTCTTAAAGAATTGATCATTTGCAAGGAATCATACAAGATATATTTGAATGGAAAATGATGAGTTAAATCAATCTAAAAAAAAAAATTCAAAGAAAAAAAATTTGTTGAAGATTTTAATTAGATTTCCTAAATTTTCACATATATGTAAAAATAAGCCCCTATTCCTATGAGAGGATCAACATTGACATTATACTCATCAATTAATTTGGAGCAACTAACTACATAGTGAAAAAGTTAGGTTTGTAGTAGTCAAGTGCTAAATTGTGAAACTTTGAGTATCAAATTGAGGGCAAATACTCTTAACGAGTTCTTCAAAGGAGAATTCCCACTCGATTGTAAGTTAATCATATTACATTCGAGCGAATAATCTCTGACTAATGTTTCATTTGAGACAACTTTCTTTTGTTACTTTCTAAAATAGTTTTCTAATACAAAAAATTTTTGAATTATAAAATTTTTATATTAGAAAATCGTTTTAGAAAGCAGTAAAAATGCTGTCCCAACCGACTCTCTATGAGTTTAATAGCTTAATATTGAAGGTTTAATTAGAACTGACTCTACAATCATCTTATCTAAGATGTAGTTCTAAGTGACTGAAGACTTTGGCTTTGTTTGGGATGGTGTTCTTCCTACCTCTTAAAGCGACTTTCTAGTACAAAACTTAAATTTTTTTTACTAAAAAGCTGCATTAAGAAGCAGTAAGAAATCCGTTCCAAACGAAGCCTTTGAGTGGCTCCTTGAACCCAATTCAAATCCTCGAAATGATTTGATCAACCAAAACTGCACAAAGGTTAACATTGATCTACTATAAGAGGAGCATCACATATATTTATATAAAAATTATATATTTTTTTAATCATTTCAAATAAATTATCGTTTAAGAAAATAAAACTCAAAAAGATCAAAAGAAGAAGAAAATAAACCAATATAGACGAACAAATTCGTTTGAAAGCTTAACAAAGGAAATACAGAAAATATAAAAGTAAAATTCATAGTTATTTTCCTCTCGTAATCTTTCTTCTTCACAACTACTTCATGCGCTTACCACCTCACTCACGCAGAGAACGGAACAATACCGACTAATGACACGGTGCCACGTTTCCCTTACCTCCGTTACGATGTCCGTCCGGAGCAGGATAAGCTCCCTCAACTCTGCAGCCATCGAGCAAGTTGGGTGGGATTGACGACCCCGGGTATGTGGGCCCCATTACCCTTAAGGAGAACCGCCACATCCGCATAAGCCATGACCGGTTCAGGCTTGCGAACCGGTTGAACGGACCGTGCCGGGTCCCACATCTGTCCGAACAGAGTTCCGCTTGTGAGAAACTCGTGGGCCAGGTATCCAGCTAGGAGCCGGTTGCCAGCCGGCGCAGCCGCCACAAAGCTCGGCTCTATCGGCGCGTCGAGGCCGCCGTCTCGCTCCTTGCGCTTCTTCGTCGCGTGGCTATGGCTATACATCGCGGTGTTTTCGCCACGTCAGCAGGAGGGCAAAATCGGCAAAACGGAAATAAAAAGGTCAAGGGTAAAATGGTCAAACAGAAAATAAAATTTTGAGAGATCGGAGATGGCCGGAGTCCGGCGGGTTCGCCGGGAAGATGGCCGGAGATTGGAGCCGGTGACCAGATTTCAGAGAGAGGGAGGAGAGGGCGAGAAAGTGATGAAAAAGTCGAAGAACGGGGAAAAATGGATAGGTAAGGCTATTTATAGTCGTTTGTTCTAGAATTGGCCTTGTTTTTATAATTTATATCGAGAATGCCATTAGTTTCTGCTGTAATTTAGAAGGATTTTGGGGTGATTATTGGGGTTGGATTACGCCTCAGGAATGTGACGGGAGGAGTTAGTGGAGATTAGGGTTTGGAATCCGATACAAAAGTATTATGATGGTTTAATCACAACCGTGCAATTGTTGGAGTTTCTGTGGATGGCAGGGGCGTAATAAGAGGAGATATTTAGGGCCATTTGTTGCTCATATGGAAATATTAAGAAAATATCTGGACGGTTGTGGGTTCACTGGATCATAATGCGCTCTCTTGATTAAGGGCTGATTATAGGCCACGTGTATTAGTGTTTGGACGGAACGTTTAGCTGTATTTAGCTTTTTATTTATGTAAAAGATCAACCGTTTATAGGAACTTTTATTTGGTTCGGTGTAAGGATGCAGAGGAACATTCGGTCGTAGGTAAAATCGTGCCTATACCGAGGTGTACCAAGTCGGAGGACGTAATAATTCTTCCGTTTATAAGCTTTAAAAATAGGGTCGCGAAAGATCGATTTTAAAGTCTTTATTTAAATAAATATAATCAACCTCAAATACAACTTATTCAAAATAAGTTTAATTTATTTCAAATTTTAGCTAAAAAGAGTCAACTTAAATGGCACTAATCTTGATGTAATTTGAATTAGAAAATTTTCGGAATCAAATTTAGGAACATTCATGTTTCTTGGAATATTCATGGCGATAGAGAAATATAAAGTTTAGAGTTTTAATTTTGTATGAAGATTCAATACACAATCATATAAAAAGATAGGGGCAGTATTTATAAGAGACACCAAATTTTTTATCTGGAAAATCCTAAAAAAGGGAAAAAACATGGGGCCTAGCATTGTTTGAATGAATCCACTAGTATTTGCAATTGATTACAAATGATGCACTTCATTAAACATAAGGCCTTAGCTTGATGTAACAAATATATATCTTATATAATTCATTAAATGGTGGAAATTGGAAGAATCAATATTTATATGTTTGTTTGGTCGGCAAGACCATAGTTGGCCGACGACAGAGGTCAGAAAGACCATATTCGGGTGATGGTTGTGATGCCCCAGAATCAAATAGTGAAAGGATTCGTCTGACATTCTGATCGAACTCCATTCCAGTTGCCTTGCTCGGACCTGAAAATTTAAACCACATATAATGAGCTTATAAAGCCCAGCAGGTCACCAAAGCCTACAACTAAAATCAAAGCACGGCGATGCTATCAATATGCAGGTCAATCAAATCAAGTCAATCAATGGTCAATGAGTCTATACAATGCGGAAATCAAAACAGTACGGAAATCAATAATCAATAATCAATACAGCGATAAAAACATCGATAAATCAATACGCCTCAGTAATCAAATCAATAAGTGGCTGGAAGTCAATATCTATCCATCGTAGCAGTGTCTATCAATCAATACTATTGGTTTAATCAATCGTGTCGTCTAGTCAATTCGTTGTATCTATATCATCTGTCTAATCAATGGAGTGGCTGTCTAATCAATAGAAAAATCCGTAAAGCTCAAAAATCAATGCCTCAATCAAAACTCTACAGTCTCTATCAATTGCTATCGATAACATCAATACGGTCATCTAGTCGTCTTACTTATCGTATTCATCTATAACATCAATCACATCAATAGAAATGAATCGTATCAGATCATCTACTTGCAGATCAATCTATCGTTCAATCTCAACACTTCCTATCAGTGAACTCGTATCAATTAATTCTTCCAGTCAATAGTATCAATCAGCTCAATATCTCAATAACAATCAAATCAATACATCGAGCAATAAAAATCAAATCTATACAATCGGCTATTACAATTAAAATCAATTAATACGATTAATTAATGCAATAAAATCATCCACGACGATCAAATCGATAATTCAATGAACCATTAACCCAATCAATCGGACAATCAATCAATCAATCAATAAATCGATGTATCGGTATCAGTATCAATCATATCCATGAATCAATAAATCCATAATATCCGTGAATCAATCAGATCGGTATCTATATCCATGAATCCATATGATATCCATAGCAGTGTCAATATCTATGAAATCAATAACGCAGAATCCATATCAATATCGGTGCCGGTATCTATGAATCGAGAACATACAATCGAAATGATAAATCCGTAAATCCATAAATCCGTCATTAAATCCGTTCAATAATAAATCCATTCAAAACAATAAATCCGTCAAATCAATCAATCAATCAAATCCAGTCTATACTATCAAGTCGATAAAATCAGCAATACGATAAATCTCAATCTATCATATCAATAAATCAATTGAAGCAAGTCAAATCAATACAAAATCAATAGTATCGATGAATCTATACAATATCAATAGATCTATGCTGTCCATGTCCATATCAATGTCGAAAATCAATAATCAATAGTAGCCATGCTCAATGATCAATCAATGAAATCAATGAATCCGTACGAGACAATAAAGCCGATCAAATCAATAAAGCAGAGATCAATAAAACAATAAATCCGTATGTCAATACAGTAAGCAGGCATTCAATACTATAATACTGAACAAGTAAAATCAACTGGCTATGTTGTTGTTGTAGAATCCATATTGCTGTTGTAGATACGTTGGTTTCAATCAATAAGAGTCGTCACTCTTTTGCCCGTCGGCTGCCCGTCAGCATATAAAACTCCTTATGACTCCCAATCGTTATATCAATGATCAATGGTTTAAAGGAAAGCCCGTCGGCCCACCATTCTATACAGGTCAATCAATCTCCAACTAACGTTCAACCAGGTTCCACTTGTATTTCAGTATCAATAGTCAATTCAATAAACCAATTCAATAATCAATCGATAATCAATGCAATAATCAATATTAAAGCAATCTAGAGCAATCATATCAATAGTCATGCACATATCAATTCAATCTATCAATTTCGGGAAAATCAGAAATCGTACGAAAATCGGGCAGAGTAACGGCAGTCTATCAAAATTACACAAAAATCTTGCAAAAAGCACAAATTCCAAATTTCTCCAAATTACAGTAAAATACCCACGACATCAATACAAGACTATTGTTCTATAGAATCAAAATCAAATCAAGTCCTGGTATTTTTCTATTCAATTAAAATCACGTAGAATCAATTCCGACCGGTAAAATCGTCACAGAAAACACTCAAATCGTGTACAATAGTATAACATACTAAAAGTTGTGCGGTGAAAGTTGTGTCAATACGAAATCACGTCAAAAGTTCGATTACGAAAACACAAAACAGTACACAACTCGGTCAAAACACAATATCTTTGAAAATAGATATAGGATTCGGAGTCCTTACCATGAGATCTACACTTTTCCCAACAGCAGCGTCGGACGAAAAGCTCTCCGCGGCCTCCAAAATCCAGCTTCCCTCTTTTTCCCTTTCTCTTTCTCTCTCTAAAATTAGATATTTTGATTTAAAAATGATTTTCTCTCTCATCAAAACGAGCTGATTTTCTTATATCATTAGGCTGATCGGCCCGGCCGATCGCCAAATCGTCCCAGGACGATGAACAGTGCCAATCGGCCTGGCCGATCTCACTATCGTCCCGGACGATCCTGGGAGGAAAATCCAAGCCAGAGAGGAACAGTAAGGGAACGAGGTCTCACAATGGTGGTCGGAAAGACTGTAGTCGACAGGTGTCGGAGGTCAGAAGGAGCGTTATCTAGCGACAAAGGTCGTAATGATCGTAGCCGAAGGGCAACGAAGGTCGGAAGGACCGTAGTTTGGTGACAAATGTAAGAAGGATTGCTGTTTAAAGATGGAGGAGTGGAGGACCATAGTTGACAAGTGACATAGGTTGGAAGGATCATAATTTGGAGACGGATGTTAGAAGGACCGTAGTCGATCGACGGTGGTCAGAAAGATCGTCATTTTGTGACGAGGTAAGAAGGACTATAATCTGGTGATAAATGTTTGAAGGATCATTATCTGGTGATGGAGGTTGGAAACATATGATGAAGGTCGGAAGGACCATAGTCGACATATGATGAAGGTTAGAAGGACCATAATCTGATGACAGATGTCGAAAGGACCATAGTCGGCGAGCAATAGTGGTCAGAAAGATTGTTGCCTTGTGACGGAGGCCGGAAGGACCGTAGTCTAGCGACGGAGGCCGGAAGGACCGTAGTCTAGCGACCGAGGCCTAAAGGACCGTAGTCTGACAATTGAGGTCAGAAGAACTGTTGTCTGGAAATAGAAGTTGGAAGGACCGTAGTCTGTATGTGATACCCTCAAAATGTTTAAAATAAGGTAAGCATCAATTTCCTTTAAATGTTAAGTTTTTTTTAAAAAAAAAAAATTTGTACTCTTAATTCTAATTACTTTGACATATTGAAAGCTAAAAAGAAAATAGATTAGCAGTTAAAAACAAAATGACTAATATTAATAAACTTAACTGTAGTACTTGAATGATTTACTTATAACTATTTAGTCACTTGTTTCATTATTTTATTCATTTTATTGTAGCCATCCACTTATATCGGCATGCATTGGTTTGACAGTAGAATCTGTAATCAACGGCTGAGATCATTTTAGGCACTTAACTAGTCATGCAAGGGATTGATTAAGTGGGTGCGGCTATATTGAGGAAAAGACTTAGTGGACATTTAAAATATAATAAAGTACACTAAGTGAAAACGCCTTAAGTTAATTTCACTCCATTTCCATTCTATCTTCCCGTCATTTCCTTCTGGAGCTGAAGATTTCCGTGAAGAAGGGAGCAACCAGGGAGAAAGCTGGGCAGTTGGTGGCTTAAATCAGGTAAGAAAAATAAATTCATGTAAGGGAAGGAAAGATTATCTACTACTGTTTGTTTAGAAGCAATTGGTTGGCTGACCACAACAGCTCGAATCAGTAGTAAGAAGAGAGGAAATGTTAGAGAG